TGCACCGGGAACAACGATTCCCTGTGCAAGTATTGGTGAATAAACAACATATATGTACCATTTATTGACGGTTTTTCTGGTAATATGGCATTGATTTTTAATATATAGAGTGAAATTTCCATCTCCACCTGTACGATCATTGGTGCACTAACAGTGCTTGAGGATGCACTTGCCCTTCGTTATGATAATCTTTTAACGCAATGGTATTTTGTGTCTATGATTTGTCTATAAGAGGCTACATTTGGTAATTTTTTGATCGATCCTGAAACTAATTTTGATGAGGTCATGGTTGATTTCCTCGAATAATTTGCTGACACAAAAAAGATGTTAATTGCAGATGATGTGTTCTCCCTAATAGAACAAAAGATTTTAGCCGTTACCCCTTTGTAGCCCCTGGTGAGCAGTGCAATAACCATGATGCTTTCCAGGGTATGGTTAATCTGCCCAGTAGAGACGATGATCTTCCGCATGTTGTCTGGGGATATTTGTGATGAAAGCCCATTTTTGGGGGATATTTTCAAGGAGGGGTCCTCATTTCGTTTTAGAAGAAGATACTAATGAAAACTTTCACCGTGATTCGAGAGAGTACAGTTATTTCGATAATCCTTTGATTGTTGTTCCTCCCACAGTTTCTGAATCTGCGTACGATAAATTCCGAATTGTATGCATTTCAAATTTTCGGAAGTGAAAGGTGTTTCCAGACAAGAACTGCACCAACTCTACTCGACTGCATATACATTTCAAACCAAACTAGTGACCAGTAGGTTTTAGAGAATTTCACAATATGCCTTACAGTATTCAGAGCTCATTCTACTGGATGTGAACCGATAATTCATCCAATATATTATACAGTACCAACCCATTTTGAGAAATTACCAGCACCTATTTTAAAACTGAGGGAAACCAAGCTCTGCCCCGCTTCATGAAGGCAGCCTTTTCTTAGGTTGGCAACGCATACACAAAATATACCACGACACACTTTATTGATTTAAATGATAAAATGACGGCAAACGTGGTCCCACCAAGCAACCACTTGGGCAGGCCAGGGTTGGACGTGAAAGAAGCCCTCTCCCCAATATTGAGGGCGTGAACCATGTCAATCAAATGGATTGTCAAACATGCGCAGCACAGACGCAGGAAATTCAGCTCGGCGAATTGAAGGGACTGCGCGGCCATCACAGGCTATTCATTACTATGGCATTTTCCAACTCACCGGCTTTAGCGCCGTGCATGAATGCACTTCAGTGAATGAACTGAGGTTGGAGGCCATTGTATTGAATACCCTAAGATGGCCACGCGACACACATCGGCAGTTACTGCTGAGCTGCCTATCAAGTGCATAGAGATCAGTGAGCGCTGATCGTTCTAAACGAATGTAGGGCCGGGGGATGGGTAGGCTTGTACCCATTATAATGGCTGCTCAACCGCCTTATCTGCAGTTGAGAACTTTGTCAGAGCTTACCAAATAGTAAACTACTTTCTTAACAACAGGGTTCTGAATACATTATAGATTTAACTACAGTAGTTGTAGCACGTTTTGATTAATTTAGTGTAGTGAACTGACTAAACAGAGTTTGGGGTCAGGGTACATTATTTTGTGAAAAAATTTATTTCTTGCTCATCCGATTCCATTACAGACATGACATGGTGGTAAACATTCACAAGTCTGTCCGACGCCCGCGAAAACCCTTGCACAGATTAAACACTTGTTTACAATCTCTTCACCAACATTGTCACATTGTTCAACATTGTGGGAAATTTCCATGCAAATTCCCTATCCAACCACTATTGGCTCCTTGACACCCTTACACTACAAAAAACTCATTACCATGGCCTATTTCCCCTGGATACAGCTAGCTCCCCGAAATAAACTCGCGTAGCTTTAACAGTAAAAGTGAAACAGCGCCCTCTGCTGAGAGAAAAATAGTGATATTAAATCATGGATACTTGTACCGCCGCATTAGTATGGGGGCTGACCAGTTCAGGCAAGGCTTTTCCTATAATGGTATATGTGTCACGAGATAAGGTAAGTGCTATGGTACGTAGCAGAAGAAGCACTGCTGGTGTAGCGAGGCAGCCGGAAAAATACGATATCGTGCACGATAGGGGCAAAATGTCAAATCCCTATACACACTCTAGATTATTGTTACCTAATACACCCCCTAGAAGTCTGTAAAGAATTCCTGAAATTATGATCAAACAATGACCAACACAAAGGCGGGGGAGTTGACAATTTCAAATTATGACATAATGAGAAGGACGAACATTATTAATTACGTGGCACATGGGGACTGAAGAGAACCTGTTCGCTTAAGCAAATAAATATGAGGATTGCTGAAGCAGACCAGTGACTGACAATGAATTTTATGGCCTAAGGTTGTAAGGATTGAGACTCTGATAGTGGAATTGTTTTGTGTGTGTGTACCGGTTGCCTCGATTACAGCTTCATAGTATTGTCCTTGAAAGTGCCACAATAATATTGAGGGCGGCTGCGCATACGTGAATTCTTCAATGTACAATAATTATACTTTTTTTTAAGAAAAAGTAAAACTTAAGAGCTTTTACAGAGAAGATGTTACTGGTACTCTTAGGTCGAGTTTTGGCGGCCTGTTCTCGACACGGGTTTCTTGTTCTGGCGCTCGAACAGCGGGAACACGACTCAAGAACACTGTTCTAGGAATAGGATCACACACCATCTCCTTGTCAGGGTTTTACAGGAACACACGGAAAAACTCGTGAGATTTTGATTTTTGAGCAGCTGCAAAAAGTAGAGAGCTGGCTTCCAAAGCAATAGACCATGTTGACAATGGAAAGTTTTGCAAAATTAAAAGCCTCGGTAGAGGGAGCAGCCTCTCCTGGCGAGTCCATTGGAGCTAATTAACATATAATTTTTTAAAGTCCAAATTCCTCGACTACTTATCGTATCCTACCCCTGAACATGTTGAAAAGCCTTGTTTAGTCATTTTACAGCCAGGGCCTCCCCTAACCGGAAAAAAAATGCAAACAAACCCAGATGGCCTTGAGCCAGCCTCCAGGCAATTCCCATAGGAATGTGTACTAAGTGGTCCCTTGTGCACAACCTAATGGGTTGTTTACAAAACGGTGCCTGGGGCAGGCAGTGGAATGTTCTTCATCAGTGACAGCTGTCTTGAACTTGTCAGAGGCCTCTGTCGGCTGTCTTTGAAGTGTTATTTTTGCTGGGGGGGTGTTGTGGTGGCGGTATGGCTTGGCTGGCGAGGGCCCCCCTTCAAATCCGGATAGCCTGGGAAAACGGCCCACACGGTACTGTAATGTACTTTGGTGGGTTTTGGTGGTTTGTAAAATCTGCAGAGGCTAGGGGACAACCACTGAAGCATTACTATACCCTCAGGACGAGCACAGGGCTCTGCAAACCTGAAAAATAAAACGGACTCAACGGAATAGTCCGTCCACGGAACCGTGTGAGTTTAAATTAGGAACGCGTCCCAGGTTAACATTAATTATTTTCCGAAACACAGAAATGAATGATCATGTTTATGCAGAAAAGAACTCAGCCCATCCAAACCTTAACTGTCGAATAACGTACATGGACGCCGCCATGTTGCATGTTGCTTGTGATAACCGGTTGTTTGTTCCCCGCGTTCGAGCGGCCGACCCATGAACAAAAAATCGAGCTGTTCGTAAACACACGGGAACAAGCCGCCGGAACTCAGCCTGAAATTCTAGAAAACTAAATTTGTTATCCGGCAACTTCCAAGCTTTTTTCCACTTCAATTATAATTTAATCCCATGTGCATATAATGCGGTGTTGAAGTGTTTTTCTTGCTCAAAAGGAAAAACAAAAGACTAGAAAAAAATAGATAGTTTGTACCCAAAGGAGGCACGTTTATTCTGAGTTCAGGCGGCTTGTTCTCGTATGTTCAGCTCGATTTGTTGTTCGTGGGTCGGCTGCTCGAACGCTGGGAACGTACAACCGGTTATTATCGCTGGTAGTTATTTGTGGCAAGCAACATGCAACATGGCAGCGTCCCTGTGCATTCTTCGATAGTCAATGTCGGTTAACTCTGCTCATTTCTTTTCCGTTAAAAAATCGTTTCTTAGGGTGTATATAAAATCATATTGAAATCGGAGGATTCGGGACTGTAATGGCCAATGTTAATTTTGCAAAACTTTCTATTGTGTTCCGATTTGTAAGCCATATCGATCCTTTTTTGCGGCTGATCAAAAATCAAATCTCACGAGTGCAGCTGATCAAAATTCAAATCACAGGAGTTTTTCTGTGTGTTTGTGTAAAATCCTGACGAGGGGGTGATGTGTGATCCTGTTTCGAGAACAGTGTTCTTGGGTCATGTTACTGCTGCTCGAGCGCGAGAACACAAAGCCCATGTCAAGAACAGGCCGCCCGAACTCGACCGAACAGTGGATAATGAAATGACAGAAGTTCTGGTGTCAAAATTATGTTAGGAACAAAAACAATTTAATTTCGAAGCTGAACTCTTTGGATAAAGACAAATAACTATAAGTGTTAACTGGGAATTTGTTACTACTGAATATTTGCAAACGTTTTTTGAGAAAATTTTATATTTTCAAATGGAACGTCTCAGAGATTTGTTGCAAATTCAATTTCTTCTTTACTGTTGATGCATGAAAACGTGCATTGGTGCAATTTCTCTTGTAACTTTGCTCTTTCCTGGGGAAACAATAAGCCGATTTTTTTTTCAGTCATCCGGTTTTTAGGCCGGGGCTGTGGAGTTTTATTTTATGTAAAAAAAAAAAAAAAAAAAAAAAATTAGTTATCTATTGAGGGCGCCATTCTTAAGAGTACATCTGTGAATCGATTCAGTCATGAGGGCACTGTCTCCTGTAAATTGAAAATTGCCTAATCGACTCAACAGAGGGCGCTGTTAACAAATTTTAATCTTCCTATAGGGGGCGCTATTCCTTAGGTCAAAAGATGGCGCTAAATATTAGTTCAAGAGAGGGCGCTACAATTTTTATTTATTTATATTTTCAGCTAGCTAGCTGAGGGAGTCTCAAATACTAGACAGCGCGCGGAATGTGAACAGACGAAACTTACGCGAGGAAAAAACGTCCTCTGCAGGAGGTAATTTTTAAGTTTGACCGGAGCCTTACGAGATGATGCAATTACTCTTTGTAAATGAAATGTGAAAGTTTGCATGGCTTAGCAGTTGTTTCAGTTAAAGCTTGCATCATTTGTTGCTGGAGCAGGTCGACCATGCAGACACATAGCCTACGTACACAATACGTAGGGCCTACATGTACATACCAATACAGGAGATATGCAGTCATGAAGCCAAACCACGGTGATTGTGTTTGTATTGCGCTTGTCCAATGTGTATTAGACTTGCGTTGCAGCCGTTCATCGGTATATCAACAGTACAAACACTGCCAATTTGTGTGAATTTTGGTAATCCAGTGGTTACATACATGTACAGCATAATGCCAGGTTTATGATAATGGGGTGTGAGTTCGAATACTCGGTTGAAATTGTGGACAGGGAGGTTTTTTTTTAATTAACGAAAATATAAAGCCCGATTTAACATGTGACGTTTTTATGGTTGGTTGAGCATCTAGATGTAGATGTCATGCATTGTGCATGGTTGTGTACCGTGATTGGGTTCCTACGTGTTATTGCATATAGCTCTGTACAGTGTAGGCTACATTTACATAGAGACGTTAGGTAGGCCTAACATGTGTGACCGTATTTGCCATGGTCCCTTTTGGTCTGGATTAGGTACCGGTAATATTGAACAGCTCCAACTGGAACATCACTCAATTCAGGTCAGAGAGAAGCATATCAAACAGCTTACATGTATGTCTTCTGAATGTGCATGTAGATGAATTTTGAACAGATTTGATGTTGTAATATGGCAGCTGATTCCACAGTCCCTAGTTGTTGTTGCTGAAGGCATTTAATTCTTGTTGAAGGAACTGTTAGTGATAGAGGAATGTGCAATCTTGTTTTCCTAGTGTGACATCCCGTAAGTGTGCTGAACTTCAGGTGGTCTTCAACTAGCAGATGTACATGTACATTATTGTGAACCATTTTGTGTAACATAACTAACCTGTTAATACATCATCTCTCACAAAGTGCTGGGAGTTGAAGGTGTTTGAGTGTAGCTGTAACTGAGCTTTCTCTACGACAGGTAGAATCATCGGTGATGAAGTGAGCTGCTCGGCTCTGCACTACATGTACCTCCACTTTCTCTATGTTGCATTTAGTATGAGAATCCCATACTGTGCTACAGTACTCAACGTGAGCTCAACCCAGGCTCTTCTATGCTTGAATCTTCACTTTTTGAGGGGCATTGCCAAGGTTTCAACAAAGAAATCCAGTCATACCATTTGCTTTGGAGACTACTGCATCAATGTGAGTATTCCATTTGAAATCAAAAGACAAGGTAACTCCTACGTACATGTACTTGTGGTGTTTCAATATGTTGACGGTGAGATTACAAGGGTTGAAATTAACCTTTTCTTTCTGGTAGTCAGCAGGACCAGTACTTCAAAATTTCGACTGGTCCTTCACATCTGTTTTGCTTTTTCCAGTCAGGTCTGGAACATGTATGTGTACATGGTTTTGAATGCTGCTTTCAAAATGGCTGGAACCAGTGAAACCAAAGTCATAGAGTGTTTTCAAAACGAGTAGATTTGGCTTCAACTTTAGTTATGCCGGTTCCAGCCACTTTGAAACAGCAGTCAAAACCACATGTCCAAGCTCACAGTCTGCCTGGAACCAGCAAAACTAGTCTAAGCCAAATGCACTCATTTCGGAAATGCTCTAGGTGTGGCAAAAACTACAATTTGGATCGTTCTCACACATGTATGTCGCACAGCTAGGTACAGCACATGAAAATGTATAACCGGATCCACTATGCTAGTAGTTCGGATAATGTGTACAGAGATCTTTTTTTTTCAGTTCTTCAATATTTTATTAAATTTGTCTATTTATTTTGTACTGGCCCAACGGACCACGAGTTTTATTAGATCAGCTGGTCCGCCAACTTTTCTACTGGCCTTGGGCCATCGGACCACCATTAATTTTGACCCCTGGATTAAACAGTTTATACGAATACCCAATGGTACATGTAGCTTTCTTTTTGTGAAATGTACGCTGCATTTCTGCGGTTTAAAGGATACCATCGATTTCCTCTCCTAGTCCTCGAGCAGCTACAGGTCTTTTTGAAGGATCCCAGAATCTGCTGCTGATGTCATAGGACAAGACAATCATCCACAAACAGACATACACATACTTGGGATGTAATGCCATCAGGGAGACCATTAGTATACAGGAGAAACAGGAGAGGTCCAAGAACGGTGCCCTGAGGTACCCCAGACAATACCTCAACAGGAGTTGAAGATGGGCCTTGAAGAACAACAGTTTGATGCTTCCCAGTGATCAAAGATGAGATCCAAGTAAATAAGGGACCTTCAATGTTGGAATGATTGAGCTTATGAAGGAGTCTGCAGTGAGGAATCGTGTCGAAAGCCTTAGCAAAATCTAAAACAATGACATGAACATGCTTAACAGACTCGCTAGTTTCCCAAATACGATAAACTGTAGCCAGAAGTTGAGTTTCAAAAGACACTTTTTACTCTAAACCCATGTTGGCATTGATTCAAAGCAAGGAAGCGATCAAGATGTTTCATGACATGACTGTAAATTATATGCTCAATAACTTTGCAACGTACAGAGGTGAAGGAAACAGGCCTGTAATTAGATTGGTACGACTTCCTTTTTTGAAGAAAGGAGCAATATTTGCCATAGACCAATCAGCTGGAACAAAACCAGTGAGGAGACTTTGAATAAAGTATCTTTGTAGGCCTAAGTGCTTGGGGGGGATTTCTGATGCACGTGTCTTCAAAAGGAAAGGGTCAATCCCATCTGGACCAGGGGCCTTTTGTGGAGCTAAACTGTTCAGAAGTTTAAAATCACCATCTGGTTGGGTTTGAAGTGGCGGAATTGAAGGGAGTTTTAGTGCCAAAAAGCTTGGGAAAGTGAAGCAGAACCCTCATGGTAAACACTGATCTCTAACAACTTTATGGCAAATCTCCCTGAGTCCTGATGAGCCCAAAGCAATGGATATTTCCATCTATTTGATACATAATGATATATGGCACTTAATGTCTGCCTAGAAGGTTGATTCGTCCTTATAGTTCTGGGGGTATAATGGGGCTAGGCAGGATGGAATAGTATCCTGGA